TTATGAACTTCAAAACATGAAGTACAAAACTGAGGAAGCAAAATTACTTTATACACTCTACTATATTGAAATTATGAAATAGATGTTTACAGTCAAAATATTTTGTTTAACACTGAGTAAAAAGGAGAAGAACTAAAAAAGTAACAGGTGTATTAACTGTGGTATATAATTAATTTATGCATCTGTTATATTGAGTTATTACCTGATAGTTAAGAATTATGTTTCATTGTTGCCTCAATGTGTGTGTTAGTATAGTATATAATAGTTTGGACAATATTTAGCAAATTAAAACAGGTAAAGTCCAAACTACAGTACCTTAACTCCATACTTCTGGTCTTGCTTACCCATGGTATGAATTGAGCATGATTAATTAAGTTTAGCACTGACAGACTTTAAATAAAGTAAATTTACTTTGGCAAATTGGTAAAATAGTCTACTTTGGGACTGCAACAACCACTTAAAACATTCCTCAGATTCCTGCTGCTATCCTGTTCAAGATAGAGCTGCACCTGTCCAATGGTGCTGTAGCCTATCTGTCTATATAGCTTACTTTGAAAGAAATAGTTAACATAATTTTAGCCCTAAATAAGTAATTCTATACACATTTAGTAAGAAGTCCCAGCAATAGCTGGAGTGGAGGAAGTCTACACTGTTCTTTCCTCTATTTGTTCTTTATATTGACTCCCTGACTATATATTTAATTTAACCCATTTTAATTTAGGATTACCAGATAAAACTAACTGTATTGCTTTGTTCTACTGAACTTTTTCTAAAGCTAAGAAAATAAAATTGCCCTAATTCCCAAGAGGCACTTATGTCAGGACAGGCTGAAACTGTGCTGCCTTTTGTCTCCAGGCTGGATTTTTGTCTTCTTGTCAGACGCATAAGAAATATCACATAGCAATTAAAACAGTGAAAGAATTCCAAGAAAGCTTTGTACTTAAATGTATACCAGGTAGTTAATTAGGCTTGTAATTAAAATGTATAGAAGTTCACTGTATGTTATCAAAATACAGAGTACTATGTGTGTCTCTGGATTAGCTATCCTTTTCTTACCCTCCATTAGCTCTGCTAGAAGCCACAATATTTCAGATTAAAGGTAGTACTAGATACATGCTCGAAATTTTGAGAAGATTTTATGGGTACCTATACAACAACTACCATGGTAGACTTTCTTATTCATAAAATGAATGCCATGATGAAACAAAAAACACCCATTGATCAGAAAATTAAGCCTACACTTTCAGCGATGGAGTCTAAAGGTTTTCCTACCAGTGACAAAAAACACTATGTGCTATGCTAGTGCTATGCAACTATTAAAAAGGAATATCCAAAAATGGCAGACAGAAAGACTTGGGACCACGAAAGGGAACCAATCTTGCATTGGGGCAAGACCAAGGTTCAAAAGTTCATTGACTCCTTGTATTCAATAACACACTAATTTGGATGTCCCAGAGGTACTATTTGAAGACGCAACTGGATTTCCTTGTTTTTCTTTGAAGGCATTTCCCTTCTCATCCAAGAAACTTCTTCAGCTCATAGTTTGGATCCTCTCCTGTTGTTTTGGCAAATTCTTTGTAAAGAAATTTATGCTGGGTTGCATATGAATCTTCTACCACATTGTCATATACAGTCTGCTTCTTAAAAGAGAATATTTGTAGCCCAGGATAGAACTATATGGTCCTTAGTGCTTTGAGCTTGGTTGTTTTCTTGCAGATGTTCCATCTAGCACTTTGCTAGCAATGATAAGTTAGCTAATTGGGTAATCAAACATGTGCAAGAAAATAACAAGCCCAAGGACCACCAAGGCTCCTCAATACACTTTTTATCTGTAAACTAGGAACCTGTGTTTGTGTTTTTTAATTTACTGAAGCATTGTCTTTTAAAAGTTTCTGGCTGATGTAATTCTGCATGTGATCAAAATAAAGATGTCTTGAATGTATTATTTGTTAAATATTTATAATTAACAAATGTATATCCTACTTTGATGTTTAAACCAACAAGCAACGTGCTTAAAACTGTAGTATCAATATCAGTGAAAGATGAGATGGGCTCATTGTTGTATGCGTACTAAGTTAACATTCTATCTAGTGATTCTGCAGATAAGTTGGGATCAGAATTCCCAGGATACCCAATTAATGTGACTTTGCTAATTGGAAATTCTAAAAGTTGGATTTGGAGGGTGAAAAATTGTTCCAAGTCATCGGAAATGTTAGCCACTTTATCCTAAAGCAGTAAAAGCACCCATCCACAACACATTAACGTAACACTAATTTTACATACATACTGGACTTCTATTTAAAGAACCTTATTGACTATCTCTAGGAAGGACAGTTCTGTGCCTGAAACTTGCAGAACAATCAAGAAATAGAGTAAGACAGTGCTGGGTTTAAGAAACAATAGGAATGATAATTTTAGTTGCAGTTTATGTTGGTTTTTTTATTATTTTACCAACTGACTAGGTTTCCTTTTACATCAATCTGTAATCTTAAAGTTGTCAAGATTGAGAAACACTGCTTTATATAAAATTGCATCAAAAGGAAATTTATGGACTAGGGATATCCATTGTAAAATTCTTATAAAATTTGAAATGCATTATATTTAGAAGAATAACAGAGTTGGAAACGTGGTAATAATGCCACATGATAAGATCAAGTAAACTACAAACACTGGCCCTATGGCTGTTTAGGGGACCATCTTATGATTCTTGGACCATGACCCATAGTATTCTTTTGATTTCTTCTTCCAAAGTCAAGACCCTCCAGTATTTCAAATCTTGGAATCTCTACTCATGCCTTCTTTCATTGGTCTGTTTTTTCCCCATTTAATTTCTAATTGTGAACCTAAGTAGAACAATTTTTGCTTAATGTCCTAGCATGTATCAAACTATGGATAAAAGAGATGAGATTATTTTCATTGCCCTCATAATTTTTTTTCTTGTGAATTGGATAACATTTCTATAAATACATTTTACTTTTTTTAATGCAAATGGAACTTTTAGCTCTGTTTTCCAGACTTTAATAATTCAAAATTGAAAAGTGTAGGTTAGAACAAAAAAAGATAAACATTTGTATCTGAATTATTTCAAGATAGTAAAAGAGAAACTAATGGATAAATAACATTGCATTTATTAAGTAATTAACCTACTGCAGGTACTGCTTTAGAAACAGCCTTCTATTTATATGTCTTCTATTTATACATAAAGGAGTCTGATATCTGAGGATTGTCTCAAGTAGACTATTTAATCTTCATATCATAGCAAATAGCATCTGACCTTCAATCTTAAAATGAAATATTTATAATAAAAAGTTCTCATCATTCATTATCTTGGTTGCAAAAATAATCCATTCTTATTTCATCATTTCTATAGTTAAATTTTATTTAACTTAAATAAATGCCACTTAAAAAATACTCAGAGACAAGCAGTAAACATAAGACAGCTTGTATTTAATCTAAGTTCCTCTTATTTCTCAGCTTCCATCTTCTTTAATCTGTCTGCTTAAAATAAGCTCTGCAAATGAAAGAGCTGCTCTATTCTGGAGCAAATTAACGTACAGACAAAATTAGTTCCAATAAATAATTACAAACTTGCCTTTAATCATTTGGCATTTCATAGCCTTTTCTGGGTTTTTCCTGGTGTAAATACATGCAGAATAAGTTGTGAGACTGTAGTAGGCATTCTAATACCTTTATGAACTTAAAGACTATATTGTAGAGAACAACATGTCCTAAGTTGCCAAGTATCTTAGAAGTGGAATAAATCCAGAGAATACTGCATGCTATTACTTGCACAAGAAATTGTATAGTTGAGTGACTTCACTTTGTCCAGAGTTCCTTTAGGGTTGGGAGTGGAGGAAAGGCAATCATAATTAAAGAATGGAGACATTGAAAGACGACTTACATTTAACGGGGAAAGTTGTAGATGAAAGGAAATAAGAAAGTACAGGCTGAGAATGTTTAGAACTTGTGTACCATCCCTATGGTTCATCTCATATGTTCACTGTGAGTCAAAAATGCTTATTGACTCTCCACACATTCACGTAATTTTTGGCAACTAACAAGGAGATCTGTTCTCACAACCTTACTTGAAACCACAGAACAAACAAATAAGTTATAAAGAAAGACACTTGGTCTTTGGTTCTGCTTTTGAAGGAATCAACAAATGATGTTTACGTATTGAATAATTCTACATATTTAATAAGCCTGACTATAAAGAACACTTAATTTGGTAAAAAAATAAATCCCAAAACAATGTACCTGCAACGTTTGTAAAATTATTCAGAATCCGTAACAGAAGCTTTATATCTTTACAAAAAAAGGGGGAAATATTAAATATAAGTGAAGTAGGAAAATTTTAATATGTTACAGGATTTATTTATAAACTTTCTGAAAATTCAAATTACCTAACTTTCAGATAAATTTCCCATTCGAACAGTTTACAGCACTGTCCTGTTTTGTTTTGTTTTTTTGTCTTCCTAGATATACTTTTTTTTTTAATACAAAGAGTAAAAGCTTAGCAACTACACTTAGGGTATTTAAAAATGTGGAATGTTAATACTTTTGTTTATGGTAGTTTCTAGAGATTTCTAGTCTGACATGTGCTAGCATGATTTCAGAACTCCTTCTGTATCCCTAGTACAATTAAGAGAGTTAAAATCCAATGTTGTTTTTCTTGAACAAGAGCAAGCAGTTCTAAAAGCATTCTTTCACTTTTTTTTAAAAAAAAAAATGGAACATACAAATTTTATAATAGAATGCTACTTTGCATTCTACTTTAAAGTAAAACAATTTTGAACTTTATCCTCTTTTACATATAGGGCAACTTATGTTAATTAATTCAACAAAAATCAATATAGATTTCTACATTCAGAAACACTTTCCTTCTCATTAATTGCACTTCACTCCAAATTACGTTCCTTGTTGAACAAGAAGATCATGAAATAACACAAAATTCAATCACTGCCCATAGCATTCCCTATCTGAGAACTTTTAAACATTACCTGTCATTTTTCTTTCTTCATTTTCCTCCCACTGCGTCCAGGTTGCATTGTGTTCTTCCCCAAAACAACAACAACAAAAATCTTGTTAGCTTGAACCAGGGGAAAAAAAAGAGATAAACATATATCCTGACTGGAAATATATAAAATCTCTTTGAATAAACTGGATTTGTTAATAAGAAGGGGCAGCATCTAAGCCTCGGTGAATGTCCTTTAGGTCTTCTATGCCTGAAATGTTCCAAATGGCTTCAGCAAGGAAAAGCTTGAGCAACTGGCTGATCAGTACCTGGGGATGACTCACAAACTAGTGTAGGTGAGATTTGGAAATTAGGACTATTTTTTCTGAGTCAAGAGTAAAATTAAAGTGACAGATGGCATAGGAAAAAAATGGGGAAAGTGTGTTTTACCAATATAAGGTTTTATGTAAAAGATGTTTACTTTTCATTTGAGATATGAGCAAGAAGCAGCAACACTGTTTAAAAAATAACCATTTTTTTCACAGAGAAAATAGTTCAAAGGGACAGAGGCAAAATAATTTATATGTGGTATGTTATCAGTGAACAAAGCAATTAACATTTTTATGCTGTCTTTTTAATAATTGTGCTGGGGTCATCTGAATGAGAGATAATGTTTAGACTAACTATAATTCAGAAGAGACACAAATGCAAATAAAACAGTACCGGATTATTATTTTTACATGCAAAGATTTGGGGGAAAAGTCTGAACTTGCCAAAGGCTGTCATTTTTTGCCAGTTGAGCTTTCCTAAGAAAAGAAACTTTGCATATGATAAACTTTGCCATTTACCAGAATGCAGATAGTCCTTATTTTAGCAAATGCAGTTGGGACAGGCAACTTGGTTGTTAAGTGAAATGGTCACTATGTGAACCTGTGATTGTGCTTATGATCTTACTTCAGCAAAGATTTTAAATGTGACGACTGGTTGTAAAGATATTTTCATCACTGTCATAATTGCAGTCACTAAACGGGCCAGTCTCTAATCGAGAACTACCTGCATAGTTTTGTAAAATCCAGAATGAAAGCATTTTCTAAAGTGCCTTTTACGTCCTCTGCAATATGACAATCTATTTCTGCCTAAATGTTATTGTTATTTAACTAAAGCTACAGTTTCTTTCATGAAAATAATATTAAATTAGAGCTAACTGTATATTGCTTATAAATTGGTTTATTTTAATTTCTATTACCTTACGTATTATTGTTATGTGCATTGTATTTGGCCTACAAGAGTCTTTTTAATTTCTTTGCTGCCATCTAGTGATTTATGGGAGCCAGTGGCTCAGTGGTCGAGAGACTGAATCTTAGACCATTAAATGTCTATAGCTTGGCAGTTCAAGACCTGAGTGCTACAAGATGAAGTGAGCTCCTGTCACTTGTCCCAGCTCTTTCCAACTAAGCAGTTTGAAAACATATAAATGCAAGTTGATGAATAGGTACTTCATCAGAGGTGGGTTTCAGCAGGTTCTGACCAGTTCTGGAGAACCGGTAGCAGAAATTTTGAATAGTTCGGAGAACCAGTAGTAAAAATTCTGACTGGCCCCGCCCTCATCTATTCTCTGCCTCCCAAGTCCAAGGAAATGGAGATTTTACAGTATCCTTCCTCTGCCACACCCACCAAGCCACGCCCACCAAGCCATGCCATGCCACGCCCACCAAGCCACACTCACAGAACCGGTAGTAAAAATTTTTGAAACCCACCACTGTATTGCATATAAGCATATGGGAAGGTAACAGCGGTCCATGTTTCTCTGTATATTCTATGCTCTGGTATGATGTCATGCTGGGCAACCTGACTCCCTAAGGTTTGGTTACGAAAGCAGAGTAAAACCCTCAAGAACCTTTACATTTACTTTTTCTACATCTAGTGCTTATCCCAATTTTTGCAGCCCAGACTAATATTATGGAAACATAGACACAACATATAGTTGAACTTGTATATTCAAAACAGTTTAATGGGTTAACACAGCTATTGTACTGAGGTAGTTGAAATTGAGCTTTGGTTTGCTTCTAACATAGGCCCCATGGCTCAGGACCTGGGTACTTGCGGGACTGCCTACTACCACCAATAGCCTCCCACTGGCCGGTACGCTCCCACAGAGAGGAGCTCCTCCGGGTGCCGTCGGCCAAACAATGCTGACTGGCGGCCCCCAGGGAGAGAGCCTTCTCTGTGGGGGCACCTACTATCTGGAACGAGCTCCCCCCGGAGATACGGAGGATCCCGGATCTGCGCACCTTCCGCCGTGCCTTAAAGACCTTTTTATTTCATCAGGCGGGCCTGGCCTAATTTTCTCCCTCTTTTATAAAAGATTTTTAATTTTTTAATATTTTATAGTATTTTATATATTTAAATTTTAAAATTGGTTTTAAATTGATTGGGGTTTTAATTTGTCTGGGCCAAAACTATTTAATTTGATTTTAATTCCACTTTTAAATTTTGTATGTATGTATTTTATTGTTTGGCTGTGCACTGCCCTGAGTCCTTCGGAAGTAGGACTGTATAGAAATAAAATAAAATAAATAAATAAATAAAAAGAAATTTGTTTGCCAACTCACAAGGCTTGTTAAACTCAGTCAGCAGGTAATGGAAAAATCCCATGACATTAATAACAAAAATAATGCCAAATACAAAGGAGATAGTTGAAAATCTATATGGAGTATTATTTCATTTCTATTACAAGTGGATTAGCAAGAATTCTGTAATAAATAATGGCATGGGAGTGAACAGGGAAGAGATATTATCCAGTTTAGAGGTAATACTTAAAAACCAATGTGTTGGTTTTTGCATGTGTTGGGTGAAAAGCCAGACAAACTTGTATCATGATGGCATTCTCAGCCTCTAAACAGTAGAAGTTCAAAGTCTTTTAGTAGAAAATACGAGGTTGCAATGAGTGATTTGTGATATCAATTGCTCATTAACACGATAGTCTTTATTTTGCATTTTAAAATCTTGTTTGTTATTTACAAGTTGTTTAAGTAATATGTTTGCAAGAATTAATGTTCAGATCAGTTAAAACCAGATGTGAAACTGCAACCTGGGCAACTGGAGAAGGGACACGGGTTCCATCAATCAGCCGTGTTCACTATTTTGATTTTTTTTGACACCCCCCCTCCCCAATCATATAATCCTGCAAACCTCCTCCACTCTTGGAATGCGTTCCTTAACAAAGTGTGTAAAAGCTGGTGTGGCCACTGAGCCATTTGAGACCAGTGCCAGTGCAAGGTGCCCCTAGGCGACATTGACTGATGACTCCACATCCTGCTGATGTAAAGATTAACACTTTGTAATGATTCAGATGAAGACGTGGTGCTGATATTGCCTAGATTTTGGCACACTAAGCCGGTGCCTGCTCAGCTTTGGCCTAAAAATGACCTTACTTGTGACAAAATGTTTAGATTTTATAATTGTAACAATATTAAAGGGATTTATTACAAGTTTGTTTGGCGTACTTGTCCTCGTTTTCATAGTTCCTTTATTTATCATCAACTTATTTTTTCTTTCTCTCTTTCTGAAATAGAACTCTCACTTAGTTTTTAAACCCTACCACTGTTGACTCAATCAGTCTATCATTTACATTCTCAAGTTGTATAAACTTCACATTTGTTTTTGCAGGACAAAATACTTTAGTCATTCAACTTCTCCTGCAGTTTTACTTTTTGATTCTTTTACATTCTAAATGAGATTTATTTGTTCCTAGCAGGAATGATTACAGGTAATACTTGACTTAACAATTATTCATTTAGTGACTGTTCAAAGCTACATTAGCATTGAAAAAAGTGACTTATGACTGGTTTTCACTTTTACCACTGTTGCAGCATCATCATGGTCACATGGTCAAAATTCAGACATTTTCAACTGTTAACTGTTTATGATGGTTGCAGTGTCCTAGAGTCATGTGATCACCTTTTGTGACCTTCTAATAAGCAAAGTCAATTGTTACTAACTTAATAACTGCAGTGATTCAAGAAAGTCATAAAATGGGGCAAAACTTACTTAACAAATGTCTCACTTAGTAACAGAAATTTTGGGCCCAATTGTGGTCATAAGTCGAGAATACCTGTGCTGTTATGCATTATGGTTTGCTAGCATATATTTACAAGGTATCTTTCATACGCTCATCATATGGGATTAGTCCTCCTTATAGGTCTTTTGGTTGTGTCTTCAAGGTTGCACTAAATTGAGGATTTCCAATCTCCTAATATAAAATCAACAATAGATGAGATAATTGATATTCAGCCAACCCTTTCAACCCTTTCAATGTAACCTGAAATTGAAGGCTTCTGCCATTGCCTGGACATTGTAGGACATCTGTTCACATTGTAGGACATCTGCTCACAACAACTTGCTTCCAGAAGTTGTGGGTGCTCCAATACTGGAAGTTTTTAAGAAGAGATGGGACAACTGTTTGTCTGAAATGGTATAGGGTTTTCTGCCTATGCAGGGCATTGGACTTGAAGACTTCCAAGGTTGTTATTCTATTCTATTCTACATTAGCAAAGGCCACTGCTAGCATTTACAGGGATAGCGTCAAATCCATGTAAGGTGTAGGTAATACATAATTCTAATTCAGTGGCTACATAACTTGCCTTCTTCTATCACTCATTATTCAGCAATATCCTCTTCCTTTCTTAGCCATGCTGTTCTAGGAGTTATTCATAATTAATATTTGAGCATGTATTAATACATAGGCCTGATGGTATTTGTCAATAATTTTTCATTATTCTCGAATTTCATTATTCTCGAAACATCAACTCTTTTCAATTATCCTTTCAGATTTCTGAAATCTTTAGAGGTCTGAATAATGCATATTAGGTACAGTGCAAGTGATGTACTGAAGTTTCATGGTTCACAAGATACCTAGTTTGTTTACAATAATTTCTGTTTTGATGGTAATATGTTTCAGCATGAGATTATCTTCATGCTGATAATGGAGGAATTAAAAGTTCATATTTGGTACTTTTGCATTATTTGAATAGGCATCTGCTTGCCAGGATTGTTTCTGATTACATAACCACACTGCTATTGGAATTTGAGTTAATACTCATGAACAAATAATTATACAAAATAAATTCACAGCTTTATTGTTCAGATACCTTGATGATACCTTGGAGAGAAATTATAGTATAAAGAAGACTTATAGTTTTAATAAATTCTTTAAGGAAAGACTTACTGTAGCACATCAGTTTTATTTTATAAAAATGCAAAAGAACTACAGGCATTCCTCAACTTACGACCACAATTGGGAGCAGAAT